TGATGTACTTTCAATTGATTGGGATGAAAAAATAAATTGATTGGATGTTGATAATTGTATTCATGCGAAAAGCATTCGAGGTGGATAAGATATCTCAAATACAATTCGATGTTGATATGCACTTTAAGATATGTCGATAAACTATCCATACCCCTATCAGCTTAAAATTTTATCATTTGTATCTATTCCAAACCGATTTAAATATCTATTTGAGTATTTGTATTCCAATCATTTAAATTTTACTATTTGCACCCATCTAAAATATATTTACAGTACCTTTTAAATGGATAAGATACCAGCGAATTTTAAACTATCTAAATCCGAACTTATTTAAAATATATTTTTTACTAATAATGGATAGAACCCGCGAGCATCTACTGCCAAACTCGTTTAATGTAGCAGATAATGAGTAACAGATATCCAAAAACCTATATCCGTACCCTATTCGTATCCATTATGTGTAATAATTTCATTACTTATATCCATCTTAAACTCATTTATAATTAGCTATATACTTATTAAACAAATTGAAACGGGATGAATATCTTAAAATATTTATACCTCTTCCATCCCTGAATATGCAGCTAAAATTCCTGATTGAAACAACATGTATTACTAATTGATTTTTCTTTTTTTAATAATTACTCTCGTTCTCTTTCGCAATCACTTGACTAAATACACATTTTTCCTTTATTTAGTTGGTTTGCAAATACCAATTTGAGCTGATAGAAAAACTAATTAGCTAATTGGTTAGCTAATTCATATCATTAGCTAAATAATATAATTTGTAAATATCTGATTGCAAATACCTTTTAGCATTGATTAGCCTAAATCTAAATAAACTCATATTATTCAATTTTCGCTTTATGGTTTTAATCTCCTGTCCAATTCATTTCTACATTTTCATTTGTAATACGAAGAACCCGATATGAATAGATGACAATTATTTTTAATCAAGCACTTGATAAGCTATATCAATGAATTAAATTAGAGTATTAATAAAGCTCAATTCAATATAATATAAGAATCTATTTTCAAAGAACAACAACGTTTATTGATTTCACACTTGTATCTTAATACACTTCCATTTTGAGAAAAATAATATAGGACAGCCAAGCTTTGGATTATAGTAGCACTAGCATAATTTGGCAGCCAGCTTAGTCTAGTTAGAGGACACAAATGAGAAATTAAAGAAGATAATTATTAATTAAGAGAATTAATTAATCTAATCAAAGTTTTGTGAGATTGGTTAGAAAAGTTGGCGTATATGGAAAATTTTGGTTGCATAACACATGGAGATACAAGTAATAAGCCATTTGTTTTCAGGTGAAAGCATTCACGTGCTCCGTTGGGTTGGTTGCTCTCTTTGTCTCCTTTTTTTTTTTTTTTTTTTCTCCCGTTGGGTTGGGGCTTGCTCTCTTTGTCCCTCCTTTTTTTTTTTCTGTTTTTTTTTTTTTTTTTCCTTACCTTTCTTTCTCCTAGAGAGGTGTGTCTTTTTATTTTTATTTTTGTTCTCTTCGTTTGCTCTCTCTTCGACATGGAAAGCGAAAGCTAATTTGCCGCTTAAAAGAACATTGAGAAAAATCAAATTAAAGAAGGGCTCTCACCATCTCATTTCTTCTTAAAAAATACTTCCTTATTTTGTTGTTGAGCGCATACATACACCAAACGTAAGAGATTCCATTGAAGGAATGCGTTTAGACAATTCGAACTACAATAAAAAAAAAAAAAGACAGAATTTTTAATTGTATTTTTTTTTTTTTTTTTTTTGTAATTCGTTTTTTTTTTATTTTTATTTCGTGTGCAATATACAATTGGTTCTAGTGTTTGAAGTCACAACGGGAGTGAGGGGAAGTAAAGGGAAGGACTTACGTAACAGTTTAAGTTTTTTTTTTTTTTTTTTGTGTCAATATACAATTGGTCTAGTGTTATGAATCACAACGGGATGAGGGGAGAGTAAGGGAGGACTTACCTACAGTTTAAGTGTCTGTGCCCATTCATACGACAAACTAATTAAAAAATAAATTTTTTTGTTGTAATGAAAAAGAAAATGATAAAACAATAATAATATTTTTAAAATTTTTTTATGGGTTGATCAGGCCTATAGGTTTACGGATTAGACTTAGTTAGATTAAATCTAGGGCTTCACTTATATAACAAATTAAAAATAAAAAAGTTTAAAATTATTTATGTTTTATTCTCTTTTCAGTACATTGTTAGATATACTCTTATTTCGTTAAAAATCATTTTTCTTCTGTTCGGCCCATGAATGGACTTATAAACTGAATTTAGACAAGTCAATTCCATGAGACTACCCATACATTCATGCAATAAGTGTAGGAACCGCCATGGATGCAATAAATATTATATAACTGGAAAAGACTTACTTAAACTGGTTACGTTATGAGTTTGCTTATACTGAAAACCAATTATAAACAATATTTTGGTTTAAACCAAAGTATTTCTAACCATACAATAAAATACTAGTAACATTTTTTTTAAACTGTTTTTATTTTCCTTCTCAATTAGCTTGGTTTATGGATTAATGGGATGACCGATACACCAAGTGTCAGGTAAGAAATTTTTTATATACCCTTTGCTTGTGTCCGAACTTATCGCATGAAATACAAAGCCCATTTTCCACTTGCAACCAACGGTGACGCAAATTCAATCTTCATCATGCCAAAACATTCGATGTCAAATCTAAACTCTCACCTTTAAATTTCAGCAGATCTGGACCATTCCTTCTCCAAATTCCATTGTTCCCTCTCCTCATAGTTACATAGATTTTCCATGAGAACCACCATTTATAGATATCTGATGTCAAGATTGGGTCGTGAATATGTATGTACTCTTTCTTAAGAAATGAGCAGTTGGATTTATATTTCGATAATTTTCATAGAAGGCAACCACACCTCCATGGATTTAATTTTCATATGCTTGTAGACAGTAATGGGTTGCAAGAGAATCTTCATAAAATGGGTTCTAATTCCATTTTAGATGATATCTTTTAACAGCTTATGCTCTGTTTGATGAACGGAGATGATATATTATGCAATGAAAATAAATGTATTTTTAATATACACATCACGTCTCATGTTTAATTGTAATCCCTTTCGGGCCGTGAGAGAATATATATATATTTAAAGCATTTTCTAAAATTTTAACTCCACAACATGACTTGATCTTGCGATCATCAATATATAATTTTCATAGAATAATTTCTTCTTGAAATTATTTCCATTAATGGAATCTTTACCTGAATGAATTATTTATCATTTCTTGGTTGCTCTGCAAATTAGTTAGACAACGTTTGCAGCAGGTTACAGAAACGTTAGTAAACCAATATTTAATATCAATTATTAGTCTTCCATGTTGAGACAATCAGGTATATTTTCCCATCACTACCCATAGAAAAGGGGAGGCAAGAACAATCTAGCCCATTTTTTCCATATTAATTCCAAAAAAAAAAAAAAGAATAGGTGGATGATTTTAGATTGATAAAATAATGGTTTCCTAAATTTGTAAATTAGAAAAGGAAATGGAGTTTGTACCCATATGATCTGATATCCCATCTGGGAAAAATCATTAAATATATTCTGCCTGTATACTGGTTTTAGTAAAAGAGTTCTGCAAATAAATCTATTAATGAAAAACATTTTTGGATTATATGAACAGAACAATAAGGTATCTAATATTTTTTTTTCTTTTTTATGTTTATTAAACAGATGCATCACTGGCATGTACAATATTAGTAATATTAATCATTTTTTTTTTTCTTTTTTTATATTTATGTTTAAACAGATGCAGTCACTGGCTGATAGTACATATCATTAGTGAATATTATTGACGTTATATAGTTCAAATATATATAATTTATATAATAGTATATACCACATATATATATATATATATACACACAAATGTTGCTAATTAGGGTTATTCTCAATCTTGCTAATTAAAAAATGAGATTACAAGTGAAATATTTCTCCTTTTCTTGTTTTGGTTTTCGGGATAATTTATTTTAGTTAATTAAATTAAAAATTTTAATGTAATTTCTAAAAAATTGATCTTAATATTATAATACTGCAACATTAATAGAAATATTGCAAGAATGTACGGAAAAGGGTGGATGGACTGTAATGATCTTTAAGAATGTTAAACATTTCTGATGTTGCTGATGTGATTCAGGGTTCAAATTGTAAATGCACTTTTATCGTGCCTGGTACAACCTGTGCTTTTTAGCCGGTCTCGTATATAAGAGAAAGACCGGCAGAGAAACTGATGGTCTATGAATGATCCTAACTCCATACTTTTCAGTTTCAGACACAGTTGTGGGTCAAACTTCTCAGCAGGGTATGGGGTTAAATATTGAGTTTGTCTGATTGATAATTTCAGTGAATAAGACATAAGAAATTAATCTACAGAGGGAGAATGAAAAAGCAGATTCCATCTCAATCTTTGGCTTTTTTTTTTTTTTTTTTTTTTTTTTATTTTATTTTTTTTTTTCTAATACTTCAGTAGTGTGGGCATTACATTACAGCAAAGGAGAATGACCCATTTTTGCTTCTACTGCTCTGTCAACGTTGGGTTAATTTATCATTGAAGTTAAAATGTTTTTTGGCTTTTTTTTTTTTTTTTTCTAATACTCAGTGTGCATTACATTACACAAAGGAGAATACCCATTTTTGCTTCTACTCTCTATCACTTGGGTTAATTTATCATTGAATTAAAATTTACTAATAAATTTTATATTAATTATAAAATGTTAAATGTATCGACTATTGTTCAAGCAACACTTGGTTTGATCGATGAAAATAGACTAGATCTCTAGACGAACTTTATTTATAAAATCAAAAATTCAAAACATGGAATTGTTACACATTTAATGCATAATAATTTTATTTAATAATATTAGCTAATGTATAAGTAAGGTAACTACAAACCATTCACTTCCCCAACAAGTACACAGTAACACAATCCATTTTATAAGAAAGAAAGAAAGGAAGAAAGAAAGTAACAATTTGACTATCTATTTATATTACAAATATAAATATTCTACTTGGTGCAAGTTCTTATTCTTGAGCATCCTCTCTGGATCATTACTGTTTATCAGTCTCTAAGCTTGTTTTTCTAGAGAGAGAAAACATGGAGCTTTCTCAACATGGTTTCTTGGAGGAATTACTTAATCAAGGTCAAAGAAGAGACAGTTGGGCAAATTTTTCAAATGGCTCAAATGAGTTGTTCTTCTCTAGTAGTAGCAGTAACAGTGGATGGAACTTTGATTCTTTTGATGATAACACAAATTTATCAACACCAAATCCTTCATTTTTAGGATTTTCCACTCCCTTTGACTGCCCATCTTTTAGTGATCAAAGTAATTACCCCTTTCTTGATGGGTTCACTACTTTACCTACAGAGATTAATGATAATGACAATACAGCTCCTACTCCTACTCCTCCTCCATTTACAATCCAAGATCAAGATTACCCATCAATAGTTGAAAATGATCTTCTTAGAGATCAAATTGGTTTTGAAGAAAGATTAAGTAGTTGCTGCAAAGTTGAAATGGAGCAAGCAGCAGCAAGTAATAATAATGTTCATCAGATTTTTACTATGGGTTCAAATGCAGAGAAAAAGAACAAATCCAAGAAATTAGAAGGACAGCCTTCAAAGAATTTAATGGCAGAAAGAAGAAGAAGAAAGCGCTTAAATGATCGCCTTTCTATGCTTAGATCAATTGTTCCCAAGATTAGCAAGGTATAATCTTTCACTTCTACATTTTCTTGGTTTTCTTTCTTTTTTTTTTTTTTTTTTTTTTTTTTTTTTTTTTTTTTTTTTTTTTTTTTTTTTTTTTTGCCTTAAAACTAATTTAGCTTGAATTTTTTTTTTTTTTTTTTTTTTTTTTTTTTTTTTTTGCTTAAACTAATTTAGTTGAAAGCCATTGATTTTGCTTTTTTTACTTCAGAACATAATGTGATTATATTTTTTTTTTTTAGTTTATAATTGGGGTTTAAATTTTTAATCTCACTATTTGGAGACAACTGCAAGACTTGATTTTTCTTATATATATACAACTTAAATAATGAGATTAGAGTAATTACTTAACAATGGTGCATTCGTTAATTTTTAGCATTTTAACTTTTATTTTATTTTATTTCTGTAATGTGTTGTTTTTGCAGATGGATAGAACTTCAATCCTTGGAGATACAATAGATTACATGAAAGAACTTCTTGAAAGGATAAATAAGTTGCAAGGAGGAGAAGAAGAAGAAGAAAGTGAAGAAGGAACAAATGAAATGAACTTAATAACAAATTTAAAGGAGCTTAAGCCAACAGAAGTTCTTGTAAGAAATTCTCCCAAGGTAATTAACTAATCAAAGACATTGTAGTACTATATAAGATCTTAGAAATCAAGAAACCCAATTCTTGATTTTTTATCTTTCTCTGTCTTCTTTGACAAAAAAAATTTTCTTCACACAGTTTCATGTGGAAAGGAGAGAGATTGAGACCAGGATTGATATTTGCTGTTCTGCAAAACCAGGATTATTATTATCAACTGTTAACACATTAGAAGCTTTAGGCCTTGAGATTCAACAATGTGTTATTAGTTGCTTCAATGATTTTTCCTTGCAAGCTTCTTGTTCAGAGGTAATTAATTAATTAATTAATCAAGATTCTTAATACTAATTAACTAGTTAATTGGTTCATTAACTAATAATTAATATTCATTTCCTTTTTTTTCTGGGTTAGCCTGCTGAGCAGAGAACACTACTTGCTCCTGAGGATATAAAGCAAGCATTGTTTAGAACTGCTGGCTATGGAGGAAGATGTCTGTAGAAGAAAAGAAAAAATTGGAGAACAAAGTTATTTCAAAGAGGTTGAAGAGAGATGGAGCTCTTTTTTTTCCAAGTCTGTCCCTGAAGAAATTTAATTTGCTAGTGACAAGTTGTAATAAATGTTTGTTTAATAAGTATATGTCTATCTATAGATTTATTCTCACTACTTAGTTATTAATTATAGAAGGATTAATCATGTATGGACCATTGTATTCCTTCTCTAACTGAAACCATTAAATGTATGATTTGGAAATAGTTAAGAATATATGTCTTAGCTCTTTGGCAGAGTAGGAATGTTTTTGGAATAAATGTACAGAATTTAGAGATAATTAATCACACTTAATTATTATTATTTTTAAATAAAATTAAAGAATAATAATAGTTGGATATGTGGATGTCTTATTGCTGCATTAGCCATAACCACACCAATAATTGAAATTAAAAATTGTGTAGGATAGTGACCTTTTTTTCCAAAATCTTCAAGAATATGTCTTTTACATCACCAAACATATCAGAATGAAAGGGAAATTGATTGTAAAGACAAAAGACTGAAGCAAATAATAATGTGAAGCACACAGTTGAAATAGTTGAAAGCCAAAATTTTTATTATTATTGTTGAAAACAAATAAGTTTTATGGAATTCATTTTTGTGTTTATCATTATTTGGCATTAAGATTTTATAATCTTCTTTTGTAAACACTTCTAATTCTATAATTCTCACCATTTTTCAAGCATGAACTGATAGGATTTGCAAATGAATTTTCCTTTTCAGTAAATTACGTAATGATTGTACCAGTTAGGCAAATATGGCATAAATCAACTGAGCCGGCTCACAAACTATTAAAATTTGACTCAAGAAAAGTTCAAAAAAGTTTAGCTTAAATCAAGCTTGAGCTTAATGATGTTTAGCTCGAAAGTTCATTGAGCCTCATCGAGATTTTATATATATAATATTTATTTTAGGCTTACTCGAATCTTGAGCTCAAAATTTTTTGAGTTAAACTCGAGGCTAAAATTTTCAAACTCATCGAGTTCCGAAGCAAGCTAAATTCTATTAAGCGGAGCTTGGAGTCTGACAGGTTTGAGTTCGCTTAACTTATTTACACCCCTAATATCAACCATATGTTAGTTGGATTAATAAGCAATCTCAATTTACATAAATGTAAGAATATAAGTTCAACGCGATCTCAATCTACATAAGGACAAGAATATAAATTTGATTTTCGAAAAGTGCAGTTGCTTAGAGGGTAAAAAAATCTTACCGCTCTTTCAATGGAATGAGGGATTAACACCTCATGGTTCCTCCCAATAGAAAAATTATGTAATGCTAATATTGGATACTTGGATAGTACTTGCCCTCTCCTTGCTAATCCCTTTGGCTTCCTCATGCAAATTAATGAAATTCTAAAGTAACATATCTAGCAAACGCAAAAAAGTAGTTTTCAATTTAAATCCCAATGGAATTCATTTCATCTATTCATATCAAAAAAAAAAAAAAAAAAAAAAAAAAAGATAACTTGGATAGTACTTGAGCCTCGCTACCTTGCTAATCTTTGCTCCTCTCAATGCAAAATTAATGATAATTTCTAAAGTAACATAATCTAGCAAAACGCAAAAAAGTGGTTTCCATTTAAATCCAATGGAATATCAGTTTCATCTATTCAAGTATAAAAAAAAAAAAAAAAAAAAAAAAAAATGGGGGTGAAGAAGAATAAAGCAAGAAACAAAAAAAAAAAAAAAAAAAAAAAAAAAATGAAGAAGAATAAAGAAAGAAACAATTCGTTGTTGACTTCATTTGATCCTGAAAATTGTGAATGGTCAAGCTTTGTAAGTAAATCTCTGGTCTTCATATTAGCCTATAAACAGATGTGGAAAGAACGCAATTTAGTTGAGTTGCTCAAAGGAATTGGAAATTTGAGGAGATTACTTTGAAACAAACTAGGCAAAGTCTTATTGATCTTCACTAACCACTACAAAACATTCCAAATCAGTAAATCAAACGAAGATTATTTCTAAGACAGGAGAATTAATGAATTAGCGGTTATCCAGAACAGCTAAAATTAGTAATGCTAGATCATGCTCAATTTAGTTACAACTGATCACTTCTTAACACAGTTCGTTAGAATACATCACATTCATCATCACTATCAACTTCATCATCAGAATCAGAAGAGTTATTGTTGGCAACGGTTTGCAGATGTTTGAGTTTATCAATAGCATCTCTTGCATCAGAAACCAAGGCATTCTTTGCAGCTCGAACCATATCTATTTTTTGTATATTGCTCTGCCTCATATTCTCTTTTCCCGCTCGTACGCATGCTGCCTTTCTCTTGGCTTCCCTGGAATGTAACTGGTCAATATATTTCTCATGCAAAGCCCTGTTCTTCACCTGCTTTAACACAGGTGGACTGACAATATCAGGTCCGCATGAGCTCCGAAATCTAGAAAAGGGTTTTTCCTGGCCAGAATTAGACCTTTCATGGCACTTCCGAAGAAATCCTTGTTTTTCCTGCAAATGGTTTGGGGTCGAAATGACATCATTCAGATGAGAAATTTGTCTAGATGGATTCATATTGGGCTCAAGGATAGAGAATATGTCTGCTTCGTAGTTCTGGTCCATGCGATTATGCTTTTGCAGCAATTGTCTTACAGCTTTGTGTGCTAGATGACTCTTCTGTTTATTACAACCTAACCTCTTACCCTTACTGTCAGAAGAGCCAAGCAATTTGCCCGTAGAGAGGGAAAAACATCCAAGGGGCGATGAATTCAATCTCTTTGCCCTTGATCGAGGCAATGGTTGAGGTGGAGTTATATGATCAGAGTTCACTTTATCAAAGCAATCCTGTGCAGACTTTCCAGGCACCTGCAATTGAGTTTGTTTACAAGGGTGTAAAATAAACTTATGACTGATGTTATTTCAAGATAAGATTGTAGGTAGAAACCGTTTCTGTATATAAAAGGACAAACTAATGCTTTCAAATTTAAAATTAATACAAGATTATATCTTGGTATCAAGTAGTATAATGAGTCAGTCTGTTTATGAACGAAGCTGCTGATATTTCCAACACTGGAAAACATAATGTTCATTCCTCCCAGCATATTTCTTAATTTTTTTTTTAAAAAAAATGTATATCTGATTTCAGTTAGCACAACCTTTTATGGTTTATAATTCATCAGTGGGGTTGGAATTTGAAATAAGAGCTTGAGAATGTTTGTAAGAGCGTTCACTAGCAATTGACATGGTTCATGCAGATGAGACGGTAATAGCACTTGCTAAAAACAATAAATAAACTATGTAAGTAACCCCAGAGAACTAAAGAAAGAAATTTATAGTCTACACTCGTCTATTACTTGCCATTAAGCTTAGCTGATTAATCATATTGGCATTTGAAATAACAGAAAGCCATCTGGCAACTAATAGGCAATTTTCCCCAGTTTAAAAGGCACGCTCAGAATTCTTATTATGAATGTTACTAATTTGAGTCTATTGTAGTGCTATACTGCAAACTAGAAGATACATCTCAAAGCTACAAGTACCTATGCAACCAAACTACAAACGAAGTTCAACTCTTAGCCCTCTCCAATGCTTTAAAGTTTAACATAAAACATTATGCCGTTCATCAATTTCCATAATAAATGCCATCATTTTTCTACCATTGTGTTATGCATGAGTTTGTAGCTTTTTATTACGTTGAATCAAAATTTACTAGGATACATTAAAAGAACAATACTACAGGACCTCACAGTACCAGCATTTCAATTTAACTTCACATAAAGAACCAAAACACCACAGGGAAAAAAAAAACATTTGCAACAGGACGTATACAGAAATTAAAGGAACCAAAGAGTAGCAGAACTACCAGTTTAGAAACCTTCTTCCAGAAATTTGGAGTGGGTTTGGCTACAAAATAAGCTCTCTGCAATGCCATTTCTTGCTCTTTTGTCCATCCTTTAACACTTCCATCAACGCGTTCCTCTTCTCTCTTCCTCTTCCCAGTAACCCTAGTAGCTTTACTTATTTCAAAACCATTTCTCCGTTCAGGCGCTTTAAGTCCTATAACCAGTTCAATATTCACACAACCAAGATTAGTTTCACTTCTCTGTAAAACATCACCACATAAGCGTAGACCCACTTTTCCATTTACTGTATTGAAAGCACCCCTCTTTTTATCTGCAGATTTATTTAAAAGACAACTGACAGGTTTCTTCTTCAATTCTTCAGGGTCACTCTTGTCAATAATTGCAGAATTAGTGTTTCCAAGCAAAGAAAGCCTCGAAGATCGCCTAAGACTCGAAACTATCTCCACCTTATCTGCAGATTTATTAAACAGACGTCCGATAGGTTTCTTCTTGGACTCTTCACGATCGGTCTTCTTGATAGTTGCAGAAATAGTGTTTCCAAGCAAAGAAAGCCTCGAAGATCGCCTAAGACTCGAAACTATCTCCACCTTATCTGCAGATTTATTAAACAGACGTCCGATAGGTTTCTTCTTGGACTCTTCACGATCGGTCTTCTTGATAGTTGCAGAAATAGTGTTTCCAAGCAAAGAAAGCCTCGAAGATCGCCTAAGACTCGAAACTATCTCCACCTTATCTGCAGATTTATTAAACAGACGTCCGATAGGTTTCTTCTTGGACTCTTCACGATCGGTCTTCTTGATAGTTGCAGAAATAGTGTTTCCAAGCAAAGAAAGCCTCGAAGTTGGGGTCTTTCGATTGAGAAGTCTCTGGGAACGACGGAGAGGAGTGGTTAGCTCGTACAATGCCGTAGTGGAGGTGGAGGTGGAGGTGGAGTTGGAGGTAGAGGGTCTTTTGGAATTCCTCCGTTTTCGCATTTTGACGAACACTTGGTGGATGTTGCTTTGTTCCTCTCACAATCAAAGTATTAGGAGGGAAATTGGCTGTTCAAATTTTGGGGAAAGTGATTTGGGCTTTAAGATGATGAATAGTAACAAAAGAAAATTTTGAACTTCTGCGATACAAGTTTTGGGCTACAGCCCAGTTCTAGTACTTTTATTACAAACATAAGGTATATCATCTCCATCTTAATGCAATTAATTTGATTAATTTTTATTTCTTTTTTATTATTACGAGCATTCCTACAACCTTTGATTATTATAATATTCTTGTCTAAGAACTCGTCGTTACCCTTCGCATAAGTGCTTTAAATTTTTCAATTTTTTTGGTACATTATGCATTTTTAAAATCACCAATAGCTTGAAATCAACTTCTCCATCTAGAATTTAAATTTTAAATAGAAATCAAATTAATTATAAAATATTAAAATATTTCATTTCTCTTTTGTCTATTATGGGAGAAATTTTTTTTTTTTTATGATGATAAGACTTACTGTTTTTAACTAGTAGAAAAAAAAAATGATATATTGAAATTAAGATATTTTATTTGAATAAAATGAAATGAGTATGAGACAAGTTTTGCTTGCAAAAACCAAATAAAGGATTTGTTGAAAAGACTGAAGAGAAAGAAATAAGGAATTTGTCTGTAAGTTAGTTCCAATAAAAGAGCAAAACGTTACAAAGACTGATTTGAGCATTAAAAAACCTTTCACGATCGCATCATTTACCTTTTTTTTTTTTTTTTTTTTTTTTTCAAAACGTTACAAAGACTGATTTTGAGCATTGTAAAAACGCCACTTCACGGATCGCATCATTTTACCTTTTTTTTTATTTTTATTTTTTTTTATTTTTTAACTTTATACGTATATTTTTTTTTTTTTTTTTTTTTTTTAACTTTATAGTATATGGTTTTAATTATGTAAACTTCACACTTCTTATCCACCTTCAATTCATTCATTATTGATTTTTTTGACTCTTCACAAATATTAAAAAAAATTATTAAATTATTTTTTATTAACTTTTTATAATGAAAAAACGACAAAGTTTGATGTATATATCCAGACAATAAAAAAATTAAAATAATAAATTAACTTTTTTATATATATTTGGTCACCTATACATAATAGCTATTTATATATATATATATATATATATCAAGCCATTAATAATAATCTTCTATGACTGCATTCTCTCAAATATATTTTTTATCAACCTTTTGATCGAAGAAGTTACACACCAATAAAACTCAATTTATAGACTTGAAATCCAAAAATTATATGTTATCTCAATCTTTTTTTGTACTTCCCTCGTGAAATATAATTTAATATGTTTTTCTTTCTAAATTGAAAATTTTAATATTATTTTTTTAATTTTATTATTTAAAAAAAGATATAAAATAATTTTTTTTTTGTTTGTCAAAAAATCAGCCAATTCTATTAGCAAATGATTGTAAAATTCTACATTTCTTTAAAAAAAAATCTATACCTAATCAATATGAATATTTTTAGTACTGGATATTATTATTAATTGAATTATATTAAAAAAAAATTTCCTCTTAGTATATAAATTTTATAATTATTTTTAATAAATCATAATGTAACGTAAGATAATGTAATTAAATATATTTTTACATTTAATTTAATTTGATTTGAGGTTTCCAGTATAAGCACACCCTTTGCTAATTATAGGTAAAAACCTACACCAAATACTCCCTCCGATCTCCATATGTCTACTCATCGATCACTAAAATTATGTTCTTTTAACTATGATTACTTAATGGAGTTTGTCAAATACTAAAAAAACAATATCTTAAACTTATGAATTGTGGTTCAAACGACAACACAGGCTATGTATATGGATTTGAGCTCATCTCCACTAAACGCACCAATAGAAAATGGCAAAAAGTTTTAACTATAATCAAGTCCTAAATTGGGTTAGACAATCTTTGATAATAGGGTTCAGATGCCGGTGTTTTACGAAAAAAACAATATGTTAAGGAATTCAACAAAATATTAATAATTAAAATAAATATAAATATAGGAAATCCATTTTCAGATTCCAATCCCATATTTGGAACTCCACAATCCCAACTTGCAACATTATGGGATTTTGATACCCAAACAATAATAAAAAAAGCATTGCATGCTTTACATTCTAGTTCTTTTCTTTCCCTAAATGAATACACCACCAAAATATATATATATATATATATATCACTAACTAATATCTCCAATCAGTTAAAATTACAAGATAAATATATTTATTCTTCACTGTATTTATCATGGGATTTGAGTTGTAAAATCATATTATGAATAAAATTATTATATCTTTTTATTTTTTTAAAATAAAAATAACTTAATGAAAATAAGATAAAATAGTGTTGATTTGAATTGATGGAATGTAAAATTTATGAATTTCGTAAAATTCATGAAATGAAATGAATTTAACAAACCCACAGAAAGTAAGCATTCTATGTTCAAATCTATCAATTCAAATTACCTCTAAAATTATGATGGAATTTATTAATTATACGAATTGTAATCTACTTTCTCTCTATTAGATAAAATGTGTTGATAAATTCATGAAATATTTAAATTTCATCGCTCAGATTCTATCAATCCAAATAACTATTAATATAATAAAAATAACTATTAGTTACATCACATAAACAATTAATATTATTATTAATAACATGAACTTCTATCTACCTAATTTAATTATCACTTGTCCAATCCATTACCACATAAATAAATTACAATATCCATACAATACTTGGAAGGCAGCTTGGCAAATTTTAGCTAATCCACAGAATGCCAAAAGTAATAGAAAATACAATATATATAGAAAAGAAGAACATGAGCAAAAAGGATAGAGAGGGGGAAATAGAAATGGACACAACATATATATATATATATATATATATGAAGGGGGAAATAAGAAAATGTGACACAGACATATATATATATATATATATCAATATAATACCTTAACTATATATATATATATACCTAACTTTTTACTAGGATTTCCACTATAACTACTCATCATTGAACTACCCTTATTTGCATAACCCCACCTTATCACATCAGCTTACCCTGTTATAATATAAGCAAACACCTAATCTTTTTATATGTGACTTTTCAAGATGCAGTTTGTCATGTAATTTCTCATTCCTTGCATAATTAAAGGGTACTTGATTCCAAATTAATCTATTGGAGTGTCAATGAAAGCAGATTCCTTAATAATGGCAATTGATTTATTATTAATCTTATTAATTCATAATCAGATTTAATATATTCCAGAACCCATTAGTAATTTGGCTTTTTTTTAAAATGTTCCAAAGATTGATTATTGTTGTTGTGACAATACACACAAAACACCAAACAATCTATATATGTATAATTATTACTATAGGAATTTATTTTATTATTTGCAATTAGATTTCATTATTATAGAAATTTCTATTAATTTATTGATAATTTTGTTAAACGATGAGATCATTTTTTTAATATGAAAAAATATGCATTTACTGTACAAATTATTAATCAACAATTTAATAATTGAATGTTTATTTTGTAATTTAAATAAAATAAGTCTACAATGTATTTTAATTAACTTGGGTATCTTATAGGAAAAGAAACAAAAGAAGTTGTTGAATATGAGGACAAAATTAACATATGATTAAGACAATTTTTTTTTTTTTGTTTTTTCCGTTGTTAAATTAATTTAAATAAGATTAGTCTATAAAATAATGTTTTTTTTTTCTTAAAAAAAAAAAAAAGTTGCAAGTTAAATCAGCATCCATGCACCGTTGGGATAAGACCACTAAGAAGCCACTAACTATTGTCCTTTAAAAGGTCTGCCCCATGTGATCTTTGATTCTTTGTTCATCATAGTGGGTCCCATTAGAAGGATTGCTTATCATCCGTACGTTTTGGAGATCCCTACTTTTCACTTCAAATTACATGGACAAACAGTTTGGCCCATCTTATGAAATTACACATTTTAGGATTTCACTTTTCTAAATACGATCTGACGTAAGATTTTAAAATTATATTCAAATAAATTAAATGCATCTTCTTTTATGTATATATACGAAAGACTGTATCTTCTCCTTAATTTGAATAAGGTTACTATATGTTTTCTATTTGGATCTAATTTGATAAAATTAACCGTTTTAACAGTGATTAGTTGTTGTAATAAATATCAATTATTTTATTAGCGTGTCATTAAATATTAAAAAATTAAAGTTTCACAACGCAATATCTTAATATTTTCACAGATTATGGAACATCTCATCTAACTAGTGATTTAATATAAGAGTAAATATTTTAAATAAATATTAAGATCAAATTTTACTAAAATTAACCTCCTCCTTTAATGTTTAAAATTCTATAGATTTAGGCATTGTTCAGTAACAATTTACCAAGTCAAAACTCAACTCTATTAATCGTACTGTTTGCTAACATAACTTTTATAATAGTTTTTAGAGGTCGATAGCTAGACCTTTTTACGAAACTTAAATACGTCAATATTTAGTGTTTCACAGAGATTAATTAAATTTTATTGACGATCGTATCCATCGTTTTTTCCTCCAAATTCAATTAATTAGTATTCTTTTTATTATTTTAAAGTAAACAACTAATAAATAACTATCAATTAAAAATTAAACAACTAATAAAATAATTATTACTTATTAAAACAATTAATATTTTCGAATTTAATGAGGTGTTCCTATAACGATTCACCCTACCTCAAAATATCTAAACGAGAAAAAAGCAAGCAGCAAAAATATCTAGGAGGCTTGCTTATCTCAGAAACATAAATCACAATAATCTTTTATCCAATTATTAATATTAGATAGAGAAGTTAATTAAGCAAGCAGGAGATGAAGAGAATTCCAAATTGGGAATGAAAGCGCAAAAGAAAACCAAGGCAGTGTTTTGTCTGTATAGAAGGAGAGCCATTGAGCTATAATTACCCACTTGTCTACTTGCTAAAGTATATATACAGTCGATAGTCAAATCAAATCACAATTTATTGAAAGAAAAAAAATTTTAAAAAAGTGAAAGCTAAATTATGAAAAAATAGATTGGAAAGTGATGCTTTACTGGCACCAACATGTTTTTTATTTTTTATTTTTAATTTTTAATTTTTGCTGTTGTTTATTAATGAAAAATCAAGATAAAATAACCGGTTGGTTTAATTTTCAATAGGTTAATTTTTGAATGAGATTTAAAATTTCTAAATAATCACGGAAAGAGTACAAACATGTACTGGGGAAGGTGGGGAAGAGAAAGCACAATTGAAATAGTGAAATTAGGACATGATGAACAAAGCCATTGTCGTTTGTCATTATCGTTTTCACTTTGTCTTTACGCATATTGTGGGGTTTTTGAAAAATGAAAAAAAAAAAAATAATAATATTTGCATATGCAGAATAGAATGCAGTCTTCTTTTGAAATCATTTCTTTATGGTACCACTTCTTCTTGACCTGGCCTGAAATAGATTGGAGATGTACAGTCATTTACAGGTGGAAGCTGTACTGCAAAGGATACAATTGGATAAATTTATAGTTCGCGGAAAATATATTTTAATTCCTGAATTTTGGTAAAAATATTTTGACATTTTAAATTTGAAAGTTTTTTTTTTAAATACAGAGAATTTCACTTTTTTAATAATTTTATATCATGTCATGTTAATAATAATAATTTTTAAAATTTTTGTCTTTGACATATGAATTTTAATTTGATATATAATTAATATAATTCTTTAAATAATAATTAAGCCTTTATATTAAATAATAATTTGATATATAATTCTTTAAATAATAATAATAATAATAGTCCAATTTTTTTGTCTCCATCTAACTATTAAACCTTTAGATTAAATTTTCTGTTAGATGTCTTTGAAGTGTCAATTTTAACCCTAATCTATTTCAAATTTTCGTTTCCATGCCACTCATAAATTCAATCTTTTTCTTTTATCACAGAATTTATCTTCCTATTTTTTGTTCTTTTGTAAACTAGAATTCAATAATAATTGTTAAGATATTACAACTCCAACAGACTAAACTGTGCTAACGAAACAAGTTCACAACATCTTGCATAGTAGTTAATATTGCAACTACCTATGACATCAGAACTCACTACATCACCTCATTCAACTTGCCAACTTCCTAACCACTCTCTCTGCACTTATAAATACAACGAAGTATGACCATAGTTTCTGTTATTTATGGTCATAAACCTAAGTCATGTATGTTTGTCTATAAAACAAAATTGGCTATCTCATGGAATTCTTTGTTTTGATTTTGAAATAGAAACAGCATTGAATATCCAAAAAACCGAACTACATCGGTTTGGCTTTTCGATTTTAACCAAAATTGCTGTTATTGTAGTTGTTATATTCAGAGGTAAGGGAATGGATTTGAAGCCACAGTAATCTCATAATTTTGAAAATCATCCAATATTTGGGAATCAAAATGAGCTAATAAACTTGGAGTGATTGTTTGAAATTGGTGGAGTTAAAATGATTTTCTCTGAGCATTTACCAATTTCAAAATGAGAATAGAACTATCAACTGTAAAGACTGTGCTTGAGCTATTCTACCACTATTAGCAAATGGCAGACCTCATAATTAAAGTGACCAAACTAATAGAACGTCAAAAACTGGGTTGTTGCCCCTTGTTTGTGCTAATTTGTAAGACTAAAACCACCCTGAAGACCTAAAAATGATCATCATGCACATTCTCAAATGTCTGAAAAAGAAGTTTAAAAGCCACTTACCAAATCCTTGACTTTTAAGTTACATTCAGAAACATGGAAAACTGTACCTTGATTTTGGACACTTACCTAATTTTATTTTCCTCTTACATATCAGGAACAGAACAATCTCATTTTTGCTGGCAATTGTACAGTAGAATTTGGATAAATTACGAATCTGGAAATCCACTGGCAGTTGACTGCCCTAAATGGTTAAAGTAAGACAGTAAAAGTAATAAAATTTCACAGTACAATTACCCAAACATATGAAAGTAAAACAGAGGATCTTCAGATTTCATTTCTGCAACTCTGTGTCTGCACAAAAATCACTTTCCAAGTCTCCAAATTCCAAACAAAATTCATATAAATTTAATCTTCTCGAAACGAGAAAATAATTACAGATGGGAGTAAAAATAATTGACCTACACTAATGGGGGTAAGCGTAACAATCAGCTAAACCTAATCGATATATTTTTTTTTTTTTGCGATTTTTTTTTTCTCAAATGGTGAAAATAAGCTAAAAGATTGTAAATTTTGAAGAAAACTGAATTAATTCCCCTTTATATACATCAAATGGTAAGATCTTTTTTCCATTGCTAATACAGAGGCACCGGAAATCGCAGCGGTTTCGGCAGCTTTTGCTCTTTCACCACCACTTTCTCCGCTCGCGGCGGCTCACATGGGCATGGTAATGCTATAAATTTCGGAATCTGATCTCCAGGCATTAGCACCGGCAAGCTCTGGCTTTGATTTTGCTTGAAATCCTTTAAAAATTAAAAGAAAATGGAAGATTAATGCATTTGTTAAATAATAATAATGGCATATTAGTAAATCAATTAAAAAGAAAGAGGAATTTACTGTGTTGTCAGGCTTAGGTTTAGAAAGTGGAGCCTCGATGTCAACCTCAGGATCAGGTTGATCGGAGAAAGATCGACGGAGTGATCTGAGCTTCTCCCAATGGTAACAGCAAGAGAAAATACCGCTCAAGGTGAAGATGATGATCAAGAGTAAGGCAGTACCGAGAGGGAAACCAAGAGACGGACGTGATGCGTCCACGTGGGAAGGTGAAAAATCTGGACTCTCCATTGGCATACACTAGTAGCTTGGCTCCTCTTCTCATGTGGAGAAGAAAGGAATGAAGTGAAGGGAAAGTAAACAAATAAAGAAAAAGAAATAAAGAAGTGTTAAATTCATGAGTAGAAGAGAAAGAAAGGAGAGTAATTTATAAACTGTGAAGATGAGTACGTGTAAAGGTACAGCCCAATGTCCGCGCCAAGGTACGGAAGAAATGTGGGTCCACGAACCAGTCTACTTGATGGTTGATGAGTATGAATGAAAGCTCTACTTCGGCTTTGCTTTGCTTTGCTTTGCTTTACTTTACTTGGATGTGGAATTTTTTTTTTTATTTTCATTTATTTTATATTTAAAAAATATTTCGGTCCTAAAAATTTTTAAAAATATTTTATACTTTGAAAAATTCGTTAAAATGAGGTTTTACCTCTGAACTCTACTTTGTAGTTGGATAATAGTATGTGTTGGTTAGATTTTGATTAAGAAAGTGAAGCTAGGGTTGGGGATTGTTTGGCTAGGGTTTGCTTAAATAAAAAGTAAAAGCAACACATTTGATTTGTAAATGTGAAAGCAAAATGGGGGGTTTAGAAATTTTGGGGGCCATATAAGATGGGAGCTGCAGTGCTTTGCACTTTCCTTGTTGTTGGTTCTCATAGAAAAACTTGACAATCCATTCGTTTTGTATGCTACGCTGTTGTGATTCAAATACGGTATTCGGGTGTTTGCCTGCTCATTGTCCTTCAAAATTTAGCTGTACAAGGCCCTACTCAAGACATGGATTTATTGGTATGTTTCTCATTTCAATTAATTGTATTTAATTATCAAAAACTCCAATTATTCATTATTATTGAAAATATTAAATATATTAATTTATCTTCCATGTTCAAGCAAATTATTATGGCACTGTTGGACAATAAAAGTTTTTCATACAGTTTTGATTAGACTAAATATATAATTTAAGCCCTGATATTTAACAAAAAGACATTAATGCACTCTAAAGTTTTTTTTCAATAATAATCTCACACCTTGTCATGCTAGAAGCAATAAATTTTTAAGGTTTTCTATTTTTATATATAAAATATTGATTTGATATATAGTTAGTATAACTTTTGAAACAACAATTTTTACATTTTTTAATTATCTAATAAGTATTTAATTAATTTAATTTTATAAATTGAGGTATTCAATATGTCGAGTGTTTAATATGAGCAATTTTTAGATTAAAGTGCTTAATAAGTCAAAGTGAAAGCTGAGAGTGTCACAAGAATTTTTGTAAAGAGGACAAATCTGAATTTATGTACTCCGTTGTTTTAATCAAGGTTAAAATGTTATTCTATTATTTATAGTATTTGACAACATAACATTTATAGAGTATTTAAAATTTGAAGAAACGGATAATAAAACATTATTAAAAAACTAAAATAATAAATTTTGTCCAATAACCTTTTATTCAAATATAAAATCCATAGTATAGCCTATATAGATGTATGAATAAAATACATACAAAATGAGGAAAAATCGATTATGCACTCACAAATATTAGTTTTCTTTTTTTAAAAAAAATTATTATTTTCATTGATTTTACGATGGAGATATAAATTCAGTCTAAATAAAAAAATTTTCAATCATAGTTTTCTTTACAGGTGTCTTTTTATATTCTTAAGGCAACTGAAAAGGACTCATCGTAGACTTTTCGTTTGGTGAGTGTAAGTGTTCATTATCAAAGGCCTATATAACATGTATATTTCAACTTAGTCAGTGTTGGTATACGCTCCACTTCAACGGAGACTCTAGAGATGATGGAATTTTGTACAGCTTTTTCTGGTAACTGAGTTGGTGACCAAACAAAAGAATCCCATAGTTGTGGAGAACAAAGTAACACAAAATTGTACCTAAACCACAATGCAATATATATTCATTTCAGGTTAATTCACTTGCCAATATATTTACTCTCTTTTTTGGTATAAAACTATTTTTGTTAGTTATCTCCTGTATAATGTTGTGGGCTATACAATAAGATTAATCTTCTCTTTTGAATAATATTTACTAAATTTAAGACTTTTCACTTTTTATATTTTTTACGAGAGTTAAAAGACCAATCACATCATTTAACTCGTTAGTTAGTTGTCTTTTACCATTTCAAAACTAATTTTTTTTATGAAAAGATTATTAATCCCTATATAATCCAACTATAAATTAGTGATACTCCAACAAGAGTTTTTATAGGGAGTGGAGCACATAATCACAAAAGAGATGTAAGAGAATCTTAATTAATAATAAACCGTATCAGAGGTTTATACTTTTTAATTCTTTGTAAACAGGAAAGGGCATTGCGAGAAGGAAGATTCTGATGGATATTTTTGGCCTTTTGAGGCCCTAAAGGACAATGCACTACCAAAAACAAGAGGAATAGAAGACAACAGAAGTTTCATAAGTCACCTCATCATAACTCAACATGTGTTGCGCTGTTTCTTTATTCTGTGTCTGTGACTGTAAAATGAAGAAACCATTGCCGCTAAAATGAAGGTGAGCTGCAGGGCCAGCAAGATTAAAATTGGATGCAACTGTAATCTAATGCGAACAAAAAAAATATACTTTAAGATGTATAAAAATTATATCATATGGAATGATTCTAGAATATTGAGTAAATAAAAATATTATATTATTTTAATTTATATTTTTTTTACAAATTCATTAAAACACAATAACATTTCTAAAAAAAGTTATTTATAACTAAATACAAAAATTCAACACTCGTACAATTACTTTCCAAATATATTTTGGTAATGAAAGCAATTTTCTACAAATATAAATTATTTTACAAATATAAAAATTCAAATTCATAAATCAACCAGAATTTTATCTATTCATTTCATTTATAAGAATTAGCATGAAAATGTTTTTTACAAATATAAGATAAATAGCATTGCTTATTACATAAAAGTCAACTAAATCGCAGAGACTGATAGCAACATTGTCACTGCGGTCGCTGTAGTAAAAGATTTGCCGTGTGGAACTCAATTTGTGAAACGGTGAGGAAAAAATTCACTTGTCTTTTGACTAAAAACTCTGTGTTCCTTAATTGTGTCAATCTATCATTGGATTTTTCTTCCTTAAATTAAACGTTGGACTACGTTCGTACTGTGATATGTCCTTTCTCTTTTCTCTCTCACTCGTGAATAACAAGTTAAACAAATTTTCCTTTATTTTCTTTTTATATAATATAATTTTAATAACAGCTGTCAAGATTTAAATTTACAACAAATCTATAATATTTAAGCATCATAATCAACGACTGTAGCTCTTCACTAAAGTTCAAATGTGGATGGATGTATCAACAAATAACAACCTACTCCCATCATTCCAAAATTACGATTCTAGTCTCTTTTTGATAGTCCTAAAATAATAGTTTCATCTACATTTTTAGAAAAGTTTTTTTATTTTTGGATTTTCCATAATATATTATATAACAATTTGTGTAAATAATTAATATTAATTGAATTTACTAAATAGTGAAAAAATTTTAAGATAATAATTTTAATATTTTAATATATTAAATATTCATCCTATTTTAAAGTTTTTAAGTTTTAAAAGTGAGCTTACTTGGACTTTGATCACTAATGCTAAAATGTTGGTACTGACCTATTAACTAGCTAGCTTACCACCTTATATGTTTTTGTAGATTTAATATTTAGTTAATATAAGATTCTTAACCCTCCTTGAACATTCCATTCATACTTGACACTTGACATTCTCTCTTTGAAATTGAATCGATTTTTTTTTTTAATACTTAAAATTGAATCACCTTGCTGTGACTAGACATCCAATTTAGAAATAACGGAACACCTGCTATGTATATGTTAAGTACATACCAAAATTTTTGCTATATACATATATTGAAAAAAAAAAATTTTTTTGGTACTTCTTAGAGAGTTCTACATAAGAGGAATAGTTGTATAATATAATCAAATGCAAGTCATTATCATATCTTTATCCACAAAATGAGATTGCTTTGCTTATAAGGACTTGTTAGATGTCTATATTTCAAGTCCTGCTATAATTTGCAGCCTTCTTCGTAGCTTCATATAGACATTTACTATATAAAAATATATACTTGAGCTTATCTTATCTTATCTTTTCCTTTGTATGCTTGTTAAGGAAATTTAATTTCCTTGGGGACCATCAGCCTGTGCCTATAGAAGTAAAACAAATAAACTGGTAAAATTTATTTTTCAATTATTATTATCCAAAAAAAAGATTTTTTTTGTTTTAATTTCCTCCATTGTTAATTAATTAAGATTAACAAGCTAAAATTGGATATAAATATTAAAATTCATGGGTTTTTGTCAATCAGGTCTGGTTGGTATTCTCATTTATACGAGGAGTGAGAGGTCTCGAATTCAAGTCTTTTCAACTATAAGTATGTTCACCAATTTAGTGAATTTTATTTCGCTCGTGAAATGTATAAAAAAAATTATGGGTTTCTTTTACAGTAACCATTGATTTGACTAAAACCATTGGCGAATTGGCTAATTAGGTATACATTGCTGGTATTCAAAAACCACTACTAATGGAGTGGGAGACAGGATTAACGGAATACTGGAATCTAAAAATTATCAGAGCAAATAGAATTAGATATTTTGAAAGATATTCCATTCTGCTACTAAGTTAATCAAATCTATTCTATGAAATTAATAATTAATTAATAAACCAATTATATAAGAATTATTTCAACATATTATTTATGCCTACCACGGAATAAGAAGTGGAAGATAAAATAATGTAGTGACAAGAGTTTTGATGTTGAAATAATGTTTATCACCATTTAATTACATCCTCTAGTTAAATGTAAATACGTTACTAGAAATGTCTAGTCGAGACGGCTAAAGTTGATGTCCTTGAATCTTTTGGTTCCACGTTTAAATCTCAACAACTCATCGTTACTAGTATTTTAAGTTTTTTTAGGTTTAAAATAGATCATTTCATGAGTTGATTTGCGAATCTGTGTGACTAAGAGTAAAAAAATCATTTTGTATGAAATATATAAAACCTCAACAAAATACAATAAATACGCTGTGTTTGTATAACTCGTTTAATCAAATGTGTATGCATGTTATGTTCATATTCAAATATACAATC